ATCGGGGCATCTGGCTGCTTGCCCCGAGGGCGGTGGGCAGGAGGGGGCCACTGGCAGCCTCCAGCCCAGCTTAGCACCAGCTCAGCATCACTGGAATCTGTCCTTTCTGGGTCGGGCTGTGTTGCTCAGCATCTGTGGTGGCTGTTGAGTGTTGAGGCGCTCCTGAGACAGGGAGCGGGTGAGACAGGCTCTGCTCTAGGCAGAAAGGCTGCGGACAAGCCCACCAAGGAGGCTTTTGTTTCTTAGGTTTACAAGGAAAGGAGGAGATAAGGCCAGGAAGACATTGTGGAATGAGATGGTTATCTGGGCTTTTCTGCTGGCAGAGACGTGACAGGCTTCTCAGAGAAATACACTGTTTTCCTGCTGCTACTGTGAAGGGGAGGAGAGCTGCGGTCTGTCCTACCCGGAGGGGGCCTCCTGGCCCTGCTCTTATCCAGCTCGCACTCTGGGGCACGAGTGTGTGGGATGCAATACTGGGTGTCTGTAGCCAACTGTCCCATCTCGTGAAACATTCCTTGGGTCAGCTGCCCAGCGGAGGCCAGGCCAGTTTCTAGGCTGTGCGTACCAGTTGCTCCAGGAACATGAGACTTGCTCCAGGCGACAAGTGCTCATCACTACCAGACTATGCAGAGGAAGCTCTGCCTGGAAGGAAGGAAAGCAGCAGAGGCCTCTCTGCCTCCCCTTTCCAGCAGATGCGCAAGTATAATGCACTTTTCACATTAAGTGTCCCCGTCCCCACCCCACACTTGAAGTCACTTTCCCTTGTAGAGAACTAACAATCCTCGTTACTCAGAAAATATTGTGAAAGAAACTACAGCAGATTGAGTAGCCCAAATGCTTAGTTCCTGCCCACAGCAGTACACGTGCCTTTCCCTAGCGTCACTCACAACTCCTCTTTGTCTTTCAGGCTGTCCTAGGGCCTGAAACTTTGCAGAAGCTGCTAAGATGGCTACGAATGCACGTTCTGTACAGTTTGGCCGGGGGTGCTTTGCGCGTATGGCTTAAAATGCTGATGGGCGAGCCCTCCCACGGTCTTTACATCCGTCTGTGGAGGACAGGGCTTGCCCCAGTGTCCCTCCCAGCTGCTGCCGCCCCGCCTGCAAATGCACCCACGCACGTTCACATCGTTTCCCGCTTTCGTGGCACCTTAGCACCAGGGGAGGGTCTGCCAGCGCAAAGCAGAGAAGCAGACGTGTCGCGTGGCGCCGGTGGAATGGCTGGGCTGCCCTGAGGCAAGGAGGTCTTTGTAGATAAGTGCTGACCCCTCAACTATAATCCCAGTTATGTAATGGCTGTATTAACATGTAACCGACCGCATTGTATCTAAAGCCTTAGAACTAGTCAGGTGCTCCCCTTCGACCTTGTTCCTGCCCCTTTCCTCCTACCTAATCTTTACAAAGCATTAATAATTCTAAGGATAATCTCTATTTTGTTGTGCTTTTTTTGTAACTGTTTTAAATAAATCAATTTGTACTGTATATTTGTACTTTTGGTGAGATCCTTTTTCCTGTTTTACCATTTTAAGTCTGTACTTGGCTACACACAGATTGTATTTTTATTGTTAATGCTCTTATGAATATTGCATTTAACTTGTTGACTCTGTAAACACAGTATC